CAAAATGTTTGTCATTTTGAAATATAGGAAAAAACAGAGATAGTACCATCCCCCCTTATGGTAAAACCTATCAAAGCATCACCAACCTTTTTATCATAAACCATACAAACAAGTTTGCTTGCTACATTTTCCCAATTTCCAGCTGAAGCTCACTGTTTACTTCCAAAATCATGTTCCTTCTACGTTGGGAAGAATGTGGAAGGCATTTATTGGAAGTCCCAATTGAAAACAGCAAAATCAATTAACCTGACGTAATCAAACCTAACCTAACCTAACTTTTTGAAACCCTTCACATTAGCATACAAATTAAATCTTTCTTGCACACAAGTAAAACCGATCCCAAAAATATTAATTTTATCAAAATCGGTTTAAGGGCAAAAATGGGCTAACCTAGCCTAAAGTAACCATAACCTAACCTTAACCTAACCTAACTTTTTCAAATTGCTCAGGTTTGAAAAAGAATTGCATTTATAAGTTTGCCTAAGGAAGCACTCTTGAAATATGCACATTTATTGGAAAATGGTTTAAGGGCCGAAAAAAGGCAAATTCCTTTCATTTGATGATCACTTTTTAAGGAATCGTCAGATGCAGCTGATGCTTTACAGAGATATTCAAGGTTCCATGACTTATTCGTTCCCTTAACCGACACATGGTTCGACATGTTGATACTTTGCGCTGTGGTGGCATAAGCAAAGTTAAGAAATGGAAATTAGGAATTGGCTACAAGAACATGAATACGTCTAGCATTCACATCACTCCCACCAAGAGATGGTGAACCTCTCAGTGCACTAACATCTCATGTTGATGTGTTGCTATGACGTATTACCAAAATAGAAACAGTGCAAGCGGAGTCCTCGTGCTCCTTCACATTTCACTTTAGCATATGTAATCACTGCGCCCTCTGTCAATGTGTACAAATATGTGCTGGGCAAGGGAAGGATTAGGTCATAGACACAATATCTCTGTCAAATATCAGCTGCATTTGACTATTTCTTAATAGTTATGACCAAACCAAGTTCAATTTTTACAAGTCAAAATACAACTTTGTTTAACCATATCTTAAAAAAAAAATTTTGGATGCAGCTGATACGTGGCAAAGGTTCATTGGCTTAAACGGATTTTTATCATGCCTAAAAAATGACATAGCAATTAGATAGGTGGTCCTGGGCTCGACATCAGGGCCCTCTGTCGGCATACAGTGCCATCTTGCGACAAGGGAAAACCTCATTGACTCGTGTACCTTTCCCTGAAATATCTCCTGAATCTGAATTTCCATTGATTATTTATATTCAATAAACATGGGGTTGTAATAATAACCCTCTGTACTGTATAAAGCCATAATTATAATTGATAAATAATTCCTGATTGATTTCATTGACGAAATGTTTGTCAATGAAAGCATTTTCGAAAGAAAGTGAAATGATACCAAAACAATAATGCGGCAAGGATCAAACGTTAGGGTAGGAAACACGCTAGTTAAAATGACCATTGAATTTGGCAGCATAATTTTAATATCGGCCAGATTCTGTTTTACTCAATGAAATCGTCGCAGTAGTGATGGGAGGTGAAGATGTGTTCGAAGCATTAATTTCCGGCACCATCCGCATCTGATTAACTTCAAGCATCGCAGTCTTTGCAACAAAAAAAACCATCACTCCAGAAGCAGAATTCCACATGATTCGGAAAACTGGGTGGTCGTTCATCGTATCCAGATTTGAACCACGAGTAGTTGAACATATTCATATTCATACATCTAGGTGATGAGAGATGATTGTGGACAAGAGACTGCAGCTTGATGATACTGTTTCCCCGATGAAGAACCACATCATGATTCAACAGGAGAACCAGATCATATAATTTCCTCAGGAAGTTCTTCCAGATCCGAAATCCGTTTGCATCAAGTGTTTGGATAAGCCCCGTTTTTTGCTTAGGGATTATGCAGATACTTACTTCTTGGTCTTGAGGGGTAATGTTAGTGAGTGCCTGCTTATCTGTATAGCCAGTCTAGGAGCCGACGAGCAAAACGCTTAAGAAGACATCTTTAAACCAGCGCTTGAGGTGATCCTTGGTGAGCTTTCCTGTTCATGATGCAAGGACGTGGACATTCGGAGCTTGAAACAAGCCTTCGCTTACTCTTGGGTCGAGCTGACCACCTTTTTCTTTCAGGACTATGAAGAGTTGTGACAATAGCTTGCCGTTTGCTGAAATTGTAGGCTGTATTGTATAGCTGTGGGTAAGAACTCTGAAACTTGGTAGATAAGTTGGGATGCATAATTCAGAAAAAAATCCGACTTTGGCCATACATGCCCTGGAGCACAAATTTTAAAAGAAATGTTTGCAAATAAATATTTTTGCTTCATTCAAAAGGAGAGACATGAAAAGCTGAAACTTGGCATGATCGCGCCTACTGAGACACTGAGTTCAGGAAAATGTCAGGATTCAGATGCATCCGCTGGGGCATATTTATTGGGGGTGGCGTTGTCAAATATTTCATTTTTCCTAGGGAATCGGGGAGAAATAGGCAAAACTCAGCACACGTATAACAGACGTGATGTTGAGTTCAGTGATTAATCAGCTTTTTTATGCATCCCCTGAAGGGATGGCTTTTGAATGCGTCGGGTTTCCCAAATAAATTTTTTTACCAGGGTGAATCAGGCCAAGCTGGAGCAATTGCGTGTCTTCAGACTTTAAAATTCCATAACTCTGGCAGAAATGAACCTATCTAGACAAAATTTGAAACATCAATAAGTCATGTCAGAGTAATTCTTTCTTTATATTCTGATATCGTTCGAAGCATTTTTCTGGGACACACCTAACAGAGAAAATTGAATTTTCCCTCCCCTAATGCCTCTTTGCCTTAATACACGCAGAACATTCCTCTGCCAAACAAATACTTGTTATTTGATTTTTTTAAAACAAATGGCACAACATTCCAAACACATTATTCATTTTCAGAATGCACTCAAACTGCTATTAGAGGCAGTGTCTCTCTAGCTTTGCCTAGGATTTAAGTTGTCCTAAGAATTGGTACTTTTTTATGTACCACCAGTAACGATAGTGCCTTAAATAGGCGAATTGAAAATGGTAAGCTGATATTTTTCACCTGAAGACGTCATCATACCTACAGGAATTGCACATAATTGGACTCATCATAGTTATTAAATAATTTTGAAAATTAATTGTTTTTTGTTGTTACCCGCACATTTCTAGCATAATTGTCCCACACATAACACATGTCTTGCATGCTTACCATGTTAGGCACATGACTACAACTGTCCATGCTGATGCACATTGCTGCGCCATGATAGGAGACAACATGACAAATTTGAACAAGGTGGTACATATGAGAAGGGACATTTCAAATCAAAATTGTCCACCCTGTCACAATGTCCCACCAGAGACGTTTTTGCTGACTCTTTGAAAACAATATTAAACGCAGGCATTAATTTTGTTTCGAAAATTCATTATGTTTGGCATTGTGAAATATAGGAAAAATCTGAGATTGTAGCATCCTAAGTTAAACCGTTTCAGAGATATCATATGGCAAAGTATTTGAAAAAAAAATGGCCAAAATGATTCATGCTACAGCATTTGCAACTCTTTATTTAAGTAGTACATAACAATCATTAAGGAATCAAATGCAAGGTCTTAAAAAAGAGTTTTCTATTGGGTAGATCGGAAAGTTCCGGCCGTTTCGGGAATTCTCCAGAAAAAAAATTTCTGGAACTTTCTCGAACCTTCCACAGTAGTAGTATATAAATTATGTGTGGGCGTGATTACGCAGCAGTTGCTTAGTCGTTCAAAGCCTATAACCATGACTTCCAAAATCGACTTTAACAAGACCGCCCAACGTCAATTCCTTCTTCACCACTTCCTATCTGGCATCACAGCAGCTGAATCGAGTCGCCGCATCTGCGCCGCGTTTGGCCAAGATGCAGTTTACGAAAGGACAGTGTGTCGATGGTTCGATCGTCTCCGGTCTGGAAATTATAGCCTCGAGGATGAGCCCGCCCATCTGAAATCAACGACGAGCAGTTGCAGCATACAGTGGAAGCCGATCTGAGGCCAAGTGCCCGCGACTTAGCGACAGCACTTGGCCAGTTCACGATCGTGACGCACCTGGCTGCAATCGGAAAGAAGAGCAAGTTGGATCAATGGGTATCCTCCGATCTGACCGACCGCGACCGCGAACGCCGTGCTGAGGTGTGCACTTCTCTGCTATCGTACGAGCGCACAAACGACTGGCTGGATTCCGTAGTCACTGGAGACGAAAAGTGGATGCTGTACGTCAGCTACAACTATAGTACTTTTCGAGCAGTACTTGATATTTTCTCCACTAACGACGCCCGGAAAGATATTTGACTTCCTGCGTATTTTCGACCTAAGTGGCAACTCAACCAAACAGGATGAGGGATTATTCTGAACAGGGTGATGGGCACAAAAAAGTTTGCGAGGTCTTATTGCTCCAAGAAACCACTGCGCCCTGTCTTCGAGGATGATCACTGTCGAATCATACGTGGAGTGAGGGTAGCCTCTAATTACATCACAGTAAACACGCGGATGTCCTCCTGCTTCCGGGGGAGTTGGATACCTCTCCTTCATCTCGGTATTACGATCGCATTGTCCTTTGATGGGGGGATACCCGGGGGGATAAAAAGGGGATTCTGAGGACGGAGATCGTATCTAGATGATATTCAATAATACTTCAGTCATGAAACAGCGCATGCTCGCGAATGAAAGAGATTGTTGAGATCTGTCATATCAACGTTTAACCATTGTGGATTCAACATGTCTTTAATGTTGAAGGAAATGGATTTTCAACATGGAGTCAACGTTGATAAGTAAATGTTGAATCGACGTTGCTATGTTGCTGTTGAACATTGAATCAATGTTGATATACCGTTGATGTCAACGTTGAATCAATTGTTGATGAATTTGAACTTTCAACATACAATCAATGTTCACATGGCAACGTCGTTTCAACGTTAGCTGCGTTGACCAAATTACATTGAATCAACGTTGATTCAGCGTGATTCTGCTACTTCGGTTTCTGCATTATCATGTTTTCGTAGTCGCCAGCTAGCAGGAACTATAAGCTAGGGAACTTTCTGAAATCATGGTAATTAGTCATCAAAGCCTTATATCTGTCTTATTTTCCCCTGAAACAGAAGTTGTGAAGTCCTCCGCTGGAAAGCCATACGTTGATTCGCCCCATGTGACTCTCTAACATGCGTAAACAAGAAGTCGAAGGTACTGTTCGACTCTCGCGTCAGCATGTAAATTTTTAACATTAAACCGAACATGCGTTTAGGTCTATGTTTCCTCAAGTTCATCAGTCCGAACTGGAGGCACATTTTCCCATCATTAAAATATTCCTAAAGAAACTCCTTACAGTAAATTGTGCTTCAACCCCTAGTTATTTCGAACAATTTTCATAGAGGTACCATACAACTAAAACATGATTGCTTAATATCCAATATCTGGGAGCGCTCAGATTCAATGGTCGTATAAACTCTCACGATAGAAATCTAGTAGGAAATTAGCACTGTGGTATGTTTCATGAAACAGGGCAACTACAGGGAGATGAGTTCAATCGCCACAAGCAAGTCCAACAAAGTGACGATATCTTTAGCCTTAGCGTTCAAGTGGCACATTCTTGAAGCGCTCAAGTTTCGTTTTTTCCCCTATATATGGTCAACAACAGAAACTGCTGCGAATACATCCATCTGGCTACGAAATCTCTCACCATGATTGAAGTCCTTGTTGATTATCGCGTCACCATTTAATTTGATACATTCCCATCTCTGACTTGAACTGTCCGGATGATCCAATGTTTCCAAGGGGCGTAGAATCGACAAGACCGGTCCTAGCTATTTCGGTGCCGTGTACAAAGAGACTCCCAGTTCCCTACTCTACTTCCCCCGAAAGAAAGAAGTGTCAATCCCTAGCGTCCAAAAAGACGCCGAAATGGAAGGCATTTCCAATGTCCGAAGTAAAACTGAGGGCGGCACACATAATTGCTTCATTCATTCTAGAACATTTTGCCACCCTGATGAATTTGCGACCTGAGCGAGTGCAAATGTCTAAGGCCGACTCTGAAAATCGGTTTCGTCTAACATTGTTCACGTATTAAACTTCGGCTAAAAATTAAGAATCATGTTGTCACCTTGAAGGACTTTGGGTTGATACAAGTCTGGAATCCTTAGAGTCGCTCTAACCAGTGCCCATTCCATTGAAATGTTTTTGCACAATAAATAGGAATACTTTTTCTCTCGCCAGAAACGATAGGGATTCCCTACAGACATGAGCAAAGCCTAATACCATTGCATTGGACTTTGGGTTTCAACTGGATATGGTGCCCTACATATGACAATATATTTCCAATTCCATAAACTTTGACCAGAACAAATTCAACATAAAGAGCTTCATAGCAAGTGGAAAGAGAGGAGTCAAGCACGCACAGCATCGGATGACAATTTTAACTTCAGTATTGCTATAATTTGCTCACCTGTTGCGCCTGAATATCTATGGAAATATATTCATCAGCATATTTCTTGCAGGGCCCTATTTCCCTTGCGGTATTCACTTCAACACCTGACAATGTGGACTCGACCTTGTGGGTGATCGCATGTCTCCGAAAAGCGCATCTGGCAATTTACCAAAACGTGACTTTTCATCTTGTCTTCCCCATCCGACAAGTGGCAGAAGAGCTGGACGCCCTGACAATTATATTTCATGACAAGTTGTCCTGTCAGTCAGCCCTGGAGTTTCTGTCCCAAGAGAAAAGCATGAGTAATAATTATGCCCGACGCGACGTGCAATATCCCCCCAACCTACTAAGGAACGTGGGTCGGCGTGGAGCCAGAACGGAGTTTGTGTTCGTCTTAGACGCGGACTTTCTACCTACACCTGGCATGAGGAGGGAGTTCCTTCAATTCGCAGAAAGGGAACGGCTTTTTTCCCGCGAGATGGTCAAGCACAAGATCGCCTACGTCGTGCCAGCATTCGAAATTCAAAAGGCGGTGGCAATTCCGCAAAATAAATCAGAACTAATTAGCCTTTGGGATAAAGGGATGATTCGGCCCTTTTACAGCGCCACCATATCCTCAATGACGCAGGTAAGTCCTATCAGCTTCCTTTTGCTGAAGACTCCTCACTGTGCTCATTATTCTTGACTGGATTTTCAGACACCGACAGACTACCACAGATGGAGGATATTACCGAAAAAGAGGGAGATCTCTGTTGGGTACGAGATTCAATGGCACCATATGTACGAACCGTATGTGATCTACAGAAACTCCGCTCCTTTCTTCGATGAAAGATTTCGACAATTCGGTTGGGACCGCGTCAGCCAGGTAAAGTACGGTTTGGAAAATGTAATCCCTTGCCTTTATCTTGAGATTAAAATGCACTACTCTCATGAAATTAATGATTGAAACATGGCTCACAAAAAATTGACATGCTGGTATTTCTGTCATATCAACACATCTATGTGTGTAAACTGATGGTAATCTTTGGTAACAATGTTTTACAAAGTACTTATTCATAATAAGTGCCTATTTAAATGAGTCACAGAACAGACATCAGTGAAAAATCTACAAATAGCAAACTAATGATTTTCAATATGTTTTCCTATGTCTTCATGTTATGCCTATTTACAAAGATTACAGAACAGAGACCACCACGAAACATCCTCAACTTACAAGCATATGCTTTCTCTCGTTTTCTCAGGTCTTCAATTTTACTCAATAGGGCCGAAGAACATGGACAGTAATGAAACATCTATAAACAGATAGTGTCTTTCCTGACGTTTTCTCGCATTTTAATAATGAGCATATTTACAAGCTCACAGAATGGAAACTACAATGAAACTTTCATGGCAAAACAGGAGTTGCTGTTTCAATCTGTAATCTATGTATCCATCATAGGTGCAAATTGACAAAAGTCACAAAGACGTTAGCATAGGTGTCGTCATAGATGCCTACATAGCAGTTATGAGTCAAATTCCGGTGACCTGGGTTTAATCTTCACTGGGTTTTGAGCGAGAGAAAGAATCTGAACTGTAACACATCGCGTCAGCCTGAGCTTCACGATTCTAATGGATATTCCAACCAGAGGAGAATATATAGACGATCGTGGCTAAGTGACTGACTGACGCTAAATGTACCCATGATCTAAAGAAGGGAGAATTCCTAAACATGGTACACATGTAATTTTTTTGGATCCAGAGTCTAGAAAAAAAGTCGACTTTGGAGGTCTAGACCTCTAGACCAAAAACCTAGGGACCTAGGCCAGAAGGACATGGGCACTTTAGTAAATGACACCATGCCCTGGAGACGAAAGTAGTTCAGTGGCACAAAGATCCTGGTGAGTAATGGCACAATGAAAAGCTATCCTACTCATCTATCAGTATTTCTTGGAGGTTTATTTTGACCTTCCTTTTTACCATCCTTCTTCTCAGCTTTGAAATATCTCATCCACACTTGCAACTATTTTAAATGATAGATGAACATTTGCTAAATCGTGATGGTTCTCATTAGGCATCAAAGCTTTCTGAAAGTGAAGATGCATTAGATATATCCTTCCCATTTGAAATATATTAAGAAATAGACCAGTGGAAAACTTGATGTCACATTCCCCTACTAAGGAATTCATGTGGATGTGATAAAAAAAATGTGGTGAACGTTCAAATTAACTTCAAGAACCAATGAGCATGCGAAATGAAATACCGAAGCACCAGATCCTGAGCCAGAGCTTTGGTCATTTTTGTGACAACTTTTTGATCACCTGAAATATTACCAATATATAGAGAGATACTTTAAACAGCGACTGAGGAGCTGAAAGGAATAAAGGAATACCTGTCTATGAAGTGCAATTATAAGAGCATTCAAGAGCAGTCTGAGGTTATGTAATTCGTATAGGCACAGCAAACTTTTCAAGAATATATCTGGGGGGATTCTGATGCATGGAAAACCGATTTATTACTGTAAATTGCCAACAAAAATGTGATGGGTTCGAAATTCTACTGAAAACCGTACCATACAGGACAGAAAAAAACGGTTAGCTTCACTTACAATTCGTGAAAACGAAAGTTACCTATTTTCCTGTAGCTCCCTCATACAGCAGTTGCTTTCAGTGAATATCTTTTTTGGATGGATCTCTAAGTGATCTATAACTACACCAAAAAATTTCTAAAACTAATAATGGAGACTTAGAAAAAATCACCAAACAACCAAAAGTTTTCCAATTTTGTCTTACCTCAAGACATCCTCACAGCATTCAGCTTTCAGAAAATCCAAAAATAAATTTGTTGTGATAACAACTACTGTCATTTTTGGCACTTTCTCTGATAATAACAAATAATTTCATGGAAAGCAACAACCATTTCTGAAAGATACTTTTTTGCCAAATATTCTTTAACCTGAGAGAAGGAGGTCATGAAGCTACAGAAAGTCAAAAGAAAAAGCTTCAAATGAAGGAGCAGGAAGACGAGCAATACGGAGTTGGAGGTTTAGTGCAGATAAGTGGGAGGTTCCATTTCAAAGGAGACAGGGCCTGTCAGGTCATAGTCTTCGAATTTTCAAAAAAATAATTTGTGGTCTTCCAATCCAAGTAATGTAATATGGTAGCTCAGTTACCACTGTATGTGAAATAGTTTTGGAGAAAATAATCGTAACCCAAGTAGCCATGGGTGATCCAAAAGTTATCCATGGACAGTCCAGTTGTACAGAGACAGGTATAAGTCCAGAGGCGGTCGTCTTTTGGATTTATGTAGGATGCCATCGCCATGGATTCTTCTGGATCTTCTCATGCATTCTGAGCTTTATTCGAGCAGAATTTCCCTACAGCGAACATTCAATTATTTCCATTTCATTGAATGAAGGATTTATGGAATTGCATTACGAGCATGCGATCTTGGGATTTATTTATTTATTATTCTAGTAATCTTTCATCTTAGGTCGCAACCCAGTAACTTCAATCAATATATAGATAGTGTAACATTATAATTGAACCAGTGCATGATTTCATTTAGATTTCGACAATACGAAGGAAACGGTATGTCAGTCCTTCATTGGGCATCCATTGGACCTCCAGCAAATGAATTTCCAAGAACAGCTTCCTATAATCTTCCATTGGATGCCCTTGGATGGAATCCCCGCTCTGTTGAGGCCTTCCATCTGGCCTAACATCTAGCAGTCCATTAAGTAAATATAAAGTTCCCATAATATAAGCGAGGTCGCTCTCATCCCACCGCTATATGTCTCCCGATTCCCAAAATGCTAATGAATTGTTCTGCGGAAGCTGTCATCCTCTACTCGATAATTTTCCACGTACAGGCCTAATTAAGGAAGTCATTCTAATCAATTAATTTGGTGAAAGATGTAACATAGCTCAAGGAGACTCACGGAAATTCTTGCACATTGCATGGAGAGAGTGTGGTTCCCCTTGTCTAGTATGTCTATTCCTTTCCAGGCTAGAGCACGTCAGCAATTGAAAATGGGGAAAAGAAACAAATGGGGAAGAGTTTCCATCCTTATGATTCCCTCATAGTTCCTCCAAGGAACGCGATGAGGAGAGATATGGAGAAAATGCTGCTTTTCTACGCCATGAATATTTATGAGCATGCACATTTTGTTCCATTGCTACCTGGGGATTACTAGTACTGCATCCCTCAATGGTCATCCGATAACTTCCCCGTAGGTAATATCCAATGGATCCAAGAAAAAGGACATCCGATAGGCCATCCGATGACCACGTCCAAGGATTATCCTTGGAAGAGACATTTAGTGGATGTCCGAGGAGGATATCCATTCGATGTCCAAGTGTCCATGATGGCATGTCCAATGGATCGAAATTGCTACTTCGGAAGTGGAGGAATCTAAAATGGGCGACTTCTCAAATCGCTGTTTTCACCCACTTTTGATTTGCTGTATCTCCTAAACTAATTTACTCGGATTACTGAAAATAATATATCGCTTACTTCAACGAAGGTACAGTATAAACATATCTAAAGACACCCGGGGTTTATTTTATTAATATTTTATTTGAATTTGATTAAATTAGCAAAATTGCTGAATTCTTCCTTATGGCGATTTTTTTCGATAAACATGAATGCAATAGATTTTCCAAAATTACATTCAGTCATGTATCCCTCGGTGTCATTTGGCATTCGCATCATTAATCCAGACATATGGAAACTAATGTCAAAGGTTTTACCTTTCTTCGACCTCAACCTCCACATCACCCCCATCCCCCACCCCCCAATCTTCTCTATGGAGCTCACTAACGTTAGGCCTAGGCGTGATCGACGGACTGTCTTCGGGTCAGGCATAGGCCTACCTTTTTTCGTTCAAAAGAAACTCAATCCTCGGCATACGGACCAAGTAGGCCTATCAGGATTAATCCCTGGTCTTTGAGACACATCGTTGAGGACGTGTAACGTTTTGCCAATCGCAGGCATAATTAGTCTCTCATGGCCCATTTAACACAGAACGTTTAACGTTAGACAAAATGTAGGTCTTTTCGAATTTCATGAGCTATTTCAATTCAGTCGGGGAACATTAGGTCTATCCAGAGTTCCTCGAATCGTCTCGACTTGTTCTGAGAAGAAAGTGCCTTAAGAAAGCATAATATACACGCGTAACATCGTAACATCGTAACGCGTAACTTAAGTGTTACATTTACAGTTAATTTAGTTAATTTAGGGCTGTCCGAATGAGATATCTAAGTATTCCACCAAAATCCATTGGCGACGGAAAACCACCGCTTTAATCTCCGCTAATCCCATGAACTCAGCAACATAATGTCTCCTAGATTAAAAAGAGAAATTTCAGACAACGATACTAAGGCCGAAGAAGTCATGAATCTAGGATAACTAAGGCACCATATCCGGCAACACGGGAGGGAAGGACTGAAGTTATCTCGCTAAGCCTGAATTATCGGCATCTAATTTCATTTTTCATGGCGAAATGGTGCACTGAAAGCAACAAAAGTATACTTTTTTGTCACCTCCATGTCAATATCTTTGATTTATTTGGTGTCTTTACTCCAAAAACTTCCCAGGAGTGGCTACCCAGGGGGGGAGAACAAAAAAGTACCGGAACGACATTCACATTTCCCAAAAGCGAGATTCAGTGATCTCCCCAACCTCGGGGAGATGGAGCTTCAAATTTGCTGGAGTGATTTTATGTTGAAAGAGATAGAAGCAAGTCAAATTTCATTTCCGTTGATGCTCTCAGAGAGGAATACGAGACGGTTGAATTTTGTCGCAGGAAGAGGTTGAAGGAAGGTAATGGGCGCTACCGCGACCATTGATCTACGTTTCATCTCTAGTGAAATTGCGGTCGAGGATATTGTCTTTCCCTTCGTCGTAACGGTTGAGATGGTATGACGACGGGCTCTCAGTTAGCCTTCTGGTCGAATGTCAGTTTACTTGCTACCTATCTCGGAGTAAATTCTTTGAACTTGAAGTGAATGTGGATATTGTTTTCGGCACTCCCAATGTTGATGCTTAATTCCGCTGTGAAATCTTGTACGGTAACGCGGCGATTATCCAGAATAAATTGTAAAATTAGCTGGATGTCCACAGGATTCACCACAGTATTGCGCGGATGGTCACGCTCAAGGAATTGCCAAGAATTATTGTCCGTCTTGAAATGTCTTGCACCATTAATTGTACTTCCCCTCTCAAAACAATCTTCCCCGAACTCTGCTTATAAACCTCGAGAAGTATCACACTCTGTCACTTTCTGTTTCAAGTGAAATTGTATTATACAACGCTGTTTAACCCGATAGGATATACCACTAGACGCTATTTTCTTCACACTCAGTTGCGTACGAGCAAGAGTTGCCTGTCTTGGGATAAATCACATTGAAAATTGGGGCTATCTCTCATATTAGTGAATCTAGGCTCTTTTCTATCCTATTGATTTTCTAAAATAGAAAGTGCAGGTATGTATTGAATCATCCTCGTATTATTAATGCTGTGTTTCTTAGAGTTAAGGCATGCATTAAGGAAATGATAAAATTTGATGTATTTTTCCAATTTGCGGTTCAATCAGGCTTGTAGGAAGAAGTAGGCATTTCTATTAGGTACCACCATTTCTTATTTACATGGTTGTTTTACCAAATGGCTTTTATGTTCAATGTAGTAAATAATTATTTTTTACCCAACAAGTGTAAGAATTCTGCCTCGCAGAAGTTTAGATCAGATTTATATTTCTTTTGAAGCTGATTTTAAGGTAAGGTAATTTCATACATGTGTATTCCCAAGATATTGGGAATCTCTTTCGTCATTACACGCATGAAAAGAAAGACGATGATTAAGCCGAATTCCATATGCCTTTTTGCGAATTCCACCAACTTCTTCTGCGACAATTCGTTTCCTCCTAAAACACATCAGTATGTATCTGTGTTAGATGATTCTATTTTGTATCTTCTGGCGGACAGATCTGCGAATTATACGTGGCCGATTATAAGTTTCTGGCACTGGACAACGCCTACATCATCCACGATGGCTTCAAGACGGAAAAATACTTGGAAAGCCGTGAAGCGCGGCAGGATACGAAGGCGAACGCCATTCATAGTCGGACCTTTCGTTCTCAAATTTCTCGGAAATATAACTACACGTCTAGGAAATGTGAATCCTGGTTCATGCACTCCCTGGAATTCTTACAGGTGATCCTGGGTTCGATTATGTGATGATAGGTGTATAATGATGCTCGTCTCTTTACGGCGTGATGAAGAATTGATGATGATGTATCATTGGTTAACATATAATATTGGCATAATTTAGTTACACTGATTACACTTTTGATCATTGCTCATGTGTTGTTTCCTTGGGAAGCTCATCATTGTGAGACAATCTAGCATGAACAGCATGGGTAGTTCAGAGTTTAAGGAAAGCTTCATTTATGGGAAGCAAAATTCAATGAAAGGCATGGACTGTTGTTTTCTTGTCACTATCAAATCGTACAGATTCAATTAATGAATATGACACAAAATTTGTTTAACTGGTATTCGTGAGCAGAGTCAATGCCGAAAGTGAAGGGACACGTGGAACTTGTCTGAGAGAACTTCTCAATGTCAATTGACTCAGTCTCAATGCCAAGCATGCCACCCATAAACGCTGCATGGAACGAGCAATTTGCGTTTCTTCTATTCCGTGAGGTTATTGCATTTCTCATATTTCAATATATTTTGATGATCGTTAAAATGATCTCATATGAAGTTTGAAAATCAATCCGGCCCTTTGAAAAAATGTTTCCACTATGGGATTTCTCTAAAAATAACATTTTGTTTCGAAGTCCGCCTGCCAGTAAAAAACGGTTCTCCAAAGTCCCAGGTTTCCATATCTCTCAAATTCACTGCAGCGAACAAATGTATATGAAAGGGACCCCCTGCAAAAAAGTGTCCCCAGGAACATACTTCAAAAGACGGATATTAACTCAGCATGCCACTATAATGAGTACCAAGTGTTTCATACATGTGTAGGAAATGACAGTAGCAAATGAGGAAATTGTGAAACGGAAGAAACCCTGGTCGATGCTCGTGCAGGAAGTGCCCTAATGAAGTTTTCTGGAGAGTGTAAGCTCCAATCACTATCAAGGTCGTTTGTTGTTAAGAATACGTATTTCAATGGACTGAGCAGTTCTTCAAGGACAGTTGATTGCATTGGAGCTCTCAGATTTAACCCGTGCATCTGAGTTAAAAAAATGGAGGTGAGTATTTCTCTTCATTCGAATCAGTTACACAATATGTGTAGGACAGTAAGGATGGAATAATACTAGCTTTGCAAGTTTCGGAGCTATGCAAATTTGTATATGCTTGGACATGCGGAGACTGGCCTGTTCACTGGCACCACCCTTTTCGGTCTCTAGTTCTTGTACATTATTTTCCCTATCATGCTTGAAGTGTGCTGTAAAAATTAAATATATATGATTTGAGATGCGTGGCTTTTTTTCTTTCAAGCTGATGAAATGAAATATGGATAAAACCCAGAAATCGTACCATGATATAGGGGCAAAGAAGAATTTGAGGATAGATTCCATCATCCTTTCATTTAAATAAAGGGGAGTTTCATCGATATACGTCGATACATATGATATAAGGAAATATTTCATGTCCGTGTTTGGAATCTTGAAGAGATATCTGAAAAGTGTAGATTCCTGAAATATTGCGCTATCTTTTTGGCTTCATTCAGGCAACGATCAATATCCAACTTGAGGATAAAATGGCCGTCGAACTATAAGATTACCATCCGCACAGCATTCCAGACTTTGCCTAGTTTAGTTATAGGGTGGTTCCATTTCAAATCAGGCAGGGTCACGGTTTTTGCATCAGGTCATAGTCTCGGATTTTTTCAAAAAAATTTATGTGATCAAATGATGGAAAAATGGTATCTTATTTACCCCTATATCTGCAATAGTTTCGGAGAAAAAATTCACAAGTGCAGGGCTCTAAAAATGGCGACTTGTGAAATTCCTGTTTTCTTCCACTTTCAATTTGTTGTATCTGCTAAAGTAATAGGCATAGAATCCTAAAAATTTTTTTTGCATACTTGAATGTACGTCTTGTGGAAGCATTTGAGAAAAATTTAAGTTATAATTTTATAAATACGTAATTTTGAATTTTAAAAAGTGATGAAACTGCTGCATTTGCT